AGTAGTATTTAGAGGGTAAATTCAGGAATTTTCTGTTAGGCAAATGAAATTGAAGCCTGCTAATTTAATAGTTAAGCAAATTCATGTGAGAATATTATCTCAAGTAACCAAATTTAATGCGTAGATGTTAATCCAGAATAAATTGGATATAGTAGAAAGGCATGTGATTTAAATCCATATAATTGTACTTTTTCAAATGGATGCTATTAAATAAAAGCAACTGAGAATATTAAATATTGTAGTGAATTTACTGTCAATGAATGCAACAAACCCTTAAGAGAAGGATGTAAAATAGATTAAAATAAATGTGTGGCAATAAATCCTAGTGAATATTCTTAATTAGAATGTAATCAAGTTACAAATAAAATTGGGTGCTTAAATATCACTACAAAAAAGCAATTTTGTCATTATAATGAGTAAAATAATATTTGTGAGCTTATAAATTTAGACTAAAGGTCAGGAATTTGTAAAAGTATCTCATAAATTAATAGCTAAGTAATTTGTGAAAAAACAGTTGATATTCCTTGCAAATACAATACCTTAGAGCATAAATGTGAAAGTGCCCAATTAGATATAGAATTTTAATGCATAAGAGGTTTAAATTAAATTGCTTGCTTAACTCATACTTAATAATCTTTATAATGTTAATTCTATAATTACTGTTATGGACCTAATTAAAATATTCTTAACTGTGACCCTGTAAAAATCAAAGATTGTTGCTTCTAAGCTAATACAATTGAAAGTTGTTTATTTTAGGATAAATTTTTATGTTAATGGTAAAATGAAGAATGCAAATAATATTAAGAATCGAATTAAGAATGTTCAACTTTAAATAATGTTTCAAGGAAAGTATGCTATAGCATTAATGATATTATTTGTATTTTCAATTTGGATAAATTAGGATGCATAGAAATATAACCAGAAAATTGTGAGTAAGTTTAAACAAAAGAATAATGTATTAAATTTAATCATTTACCATGTTATTGGGATTTTATACAAGCCTCATGTATAAAAAAAGTAAAGAATCCTAATGATGGATGTTAAGATATACAAGATTAATGGGGTAGCGAAAGATCATGCTTAGATGTTGTAAAATAAGGTTAAATGTGTATCTTTTAAAATCAATGTACTGATTATACACCATCGTAAATGAAAGGCTGTTTCTAAAAACTAAATAAATAATCTTGCTTATAATAAGTATTATATGAATGTATTTGGGATCAAAATTAAAAATAAGAATGTCTTGATTTCAACTCTTAAACTAATTCTAAATGTGACTCAAATCTTAGTTATCTTGCTTGTTTAAATGTTAATACCTCTGTTACATTTTGTAGATGGAAAGACAATTAATGTAAAGATGTTGAAAATAATTAAATTATATAATTCTCATCCTTATCTTAATGTAACTGTAATACATGTGGATTAATAAATGATGGTTCTAGGGTAATATGCGATACTAAGTACTTTAAATGCTTAAATGTATCAAATCTAAGGAATCTAACTTGTGATATTAAAGGTACAAATAAGGAAGCTTGTTTGAATAATAAAGATCATCTATGTAGATGGGATGATACAAAGAAAGAATGTTTAAAATTCAATATATAAAGCAGTAGTTGCAGCATAAGAAATGTTAATCTTGCATCATGTTCATCAATATAAGCAGCTCTTCCTTGTGGATCAAAAGAAAATAACTGTGATCAAGTTGATGTAACTAAGATTTCTTGTGATTATCCAGGATTAAATGAGTATGCATGCCTTTAAATCACAAATTATCCTTGTGGATGGGTCTAAGATGAATATCTTTAATAATATTAATGCAAATTAATTCAAGATTTTGATGCTTGTTTAGGCTATAATCATTAAGTTAATGCATTTGTATGCACTTAAGTTTTAGATGCTCCTTGCTTTTATAATTCTATGCTAAGAAATTGCATCTTATTTAAAGCCCCATAAGAAATTAATTGTAATTTACTAGGTATTAATGGTATTGGATGTTCTAATATTGAAAATTGTGTTTTTTTACAAGGTAAATGCACCAAATTTGAAAAAACGATGGATTTAAACTGTGAAGATGCTTTATTTTCTAATCATAAGGTTTGTGCTTAAATTTAAAGAAATAGATGCAAATATAACAATTTAGGAAATGGTTGTATATCATCAGAATTATCGGATATTTGCTCCACAAAAGGGATTAATTAAGTTGGATGCAATGATTTATTAGATTGTCAATGGAATTAATCTCAATGTCTATGTAAGGCTATGCTAAGTTAATATCCTGACTGCTCTTCTATCACAAATTCAAGAAAATGTTAAAATTTAAATTACTGTTATGTAGCATTTTCTAATCCTTAATATAATGTTGATATTAGTTAAGAAATAATTGATTAAAATTTAGTAAAGTGCTTAAGAAAGACATGTGATTATTATTCAATAGATTAATGTGATGGTTAGAAATTAGATACTGATATATGTTATTTAACCTAGGATAATAAATGTAAATTGGCAAAAATATGTGATGATATAGTGAATCCTTAAAATAATTGTTTGAAATATACCCTAAAGAATAAGCAATGTTTTAAAGATTTAAATAATCAAAACTGTGTTACTTCACCAGATTGTGAAGGTTTAGATTTTTTAACTTGTTAATAATATACGCAGGATTGCATTTTTGAGAATACATGTAAGACTTTAGAATGTTATCGTTTTACTACAAAATAGAAATGCATTGACAAGAAATGTGAATGGCTTGAATAAAATAAAAGTTGCACGAACTTGCAATATTGTGCTTCTCAAAACAAAGAAAATTGCATGAATGTTTAAGAAAATGGTAAATAATGTGCTTTAATTGAAGAGGAAGGAGAGGATCAATTTTGTTCAGTGATAGGATGCAGGTATCTATTAATAAAGTATTCTTTGTGTAATGGAGCTTAAATTGGCGATGATGTCTGTGTTCCTTTATCAGATTCAAGCTGTGTTAGTTGTTAAGAGATTGTGGATCCTTGTATTTGTTTGTAATTCGAAAATTATTGTGAATATGATAAATTTGATAATGCTTGTAAGTCTAAATAGTGTGGAAGCTTCAATCAAGAAACTTGTCCTGATTCCAGATGTTAGTTTGATGATAAGAACCAGGTATTTATCAACTTATAAAGTAGATATGCATTCCACTTTGTGAAAATAATTATAACCGTTAGCAATGTAACCATTTTTAATCACATTGTACTTGGGATATGGATTCTAAATTATGTAAATAATAAGATAAATTCTACAATTATACGGAACCTTCCACAACTATTATAGTTATTAATGTCAACGGATTAATTTTAAGAATAATATTATTTACTGTAATTCTTTAATTTTGAGTATGCGAATTTATATAATTTATATTTAATCTTTAAATATATAATTCTTTTGATCAGAAGAGTAGCCAAACAAGGATACTAAAACAAGTATAAAGTTTCCGATCGAAATTAATAACTGGTGAATCCGGTTTGATAACTACTTATATTTATGTACAACTATTTTATTCATCATTCCACTAACAGTATGAAGAGTCATCTGTACAATCAAAGATATTATTATAGTTGGCGCAATTAAAGTGGCAAGTCTAATTTAGATATTACCATTACCTTATTTTAAGAATTGAATTAACAAAAATGAAATTATTAACATTTGCTTTCATTAGTTAAATTAATACAATTTATAGACTAGCATTAGCCCAAAATATAATTGAAACTGCAATACTCTTGATCGATGCATAAACATGAATCTTTAATTTCCTCACATTATAAACATGTATCATCTTGAAGTTTAACACAAATATTTTTTTGTATAAATGTATTTCTACATTCTTATAACTTAGCTAACTCTCTACAACCTTTAGCAGTGCAAAATCTCTCTTCATTATTTATTTTCCAGGCACATTTAACATTATTAAAAGAATTTTAATTGCATAAATACTAAGTAAAATAACTCTCACATGGTTAATTATTACTGCATTAATTATTATAGTAGTTCCATTAGCAATTATGAAATCTGCATGATTCTTCAGATTCCAATTCTTAACNTAGGATTGCATTTTTGAGAATACATGTAAGACTTTAGAATGTTATCGTTTTACTACAAAATAGAAATGCATTGACAAGAAATGTGAATGGCTTGAATAAAATAAAAGTTGCACGAACTTGCAATATTGTGCTTCTCAAAACAAAGAAAATTGCATGAATGTTTAAGAAAATGGTAAATAATGTGCTTTAATTGAAGAGGAAGGAGAGGATCAATTTTGTTCAGTGATAGGATGCAGGTATCTATTAATAAAGTATTCTTTGTGTAATGGAGCTTAAATTGGCGATGATGTCTGTGTTCCTTTATCAGATTCAAGCTGTGTTAGTTGTTAAGAGATTGTGGATCCTTGTATTTGTTTGTAATTCGAAAATTATTGTGAATATGATAAATTTGATAATGCTTGTAAGTCTAAATAGTGTGGAAGTTTCAATCAAGAAACTTGTCCTGATTCCAGATGTTAGTTTGATGATAAGAACCAGGTATTTATCAACTTATAAAGTAGATATGCATCCCACTTTGTGAAAATAATTATAACCGTTAGCAATGTAACCATTTTTAATCACATTGTACTTGGGATATGGATTCTAAATTATGTAAATAATAAGATAAATTCTACAATTATACGGAACCTTCCACAACTATTATAGTTATTAATGTCAACGGATTAATTTTAAGAATAATATTATTTACTGTAATTCTTTAATTTTGAGTATGCGAATTTATATAATTTATATTTAATCTTTAAATATATAATTCTTTTGATCAGAAGAGTAGCCAAACAAGGATACTAAAACAAGTATAAAGTTTCCGATCGAAATTAATAACTGGTGAATCCGGTTTGATAACTACTTATATTTATGTACAACTATTTTATTCATCATTCCACTAACAGTATGAAGAGTCATCTGTACAATCAAAGATATTATTATAGTTGGCGCAATTAAAGTGGCAAGTCTAATTTAGATATTACCATTACCTTATTTTAAGAATTGAATTAACAAAAATGAAATTATTAACATTTGCTTTCATTAGTTAAATTAATACAATTTATAGACTAGCATTAGCCCAAAATATAATTGAAACTGCAATACTCTTGATCGATGCATAAACATGAATCTTTAATTTCCTCACATTATAAACATGTATCATCTTGAAGTTTAACACAAATATTTTTTTGTATAAATGTATTTCTACATTCTTATAACTTAGCTAACTCTCTACAACCTTTAGCAGTGCAAAATCTCTCTTCATTATTTATTTTCCAGGCACATTTAACATTATTAAAAGAATTTTAATTGCATAAATACTAAGTAAAATAACTCTCACATGGTTAATTATTACTGCATTAATTATTATAGTAGTTCCATTAGCAATTATGAAATCTGCATGATTCTTCAGATTCCAATTCTTAACATAATTTGGGTTTACAAAAGTCATTAAAATAGCAATAAAGAGAAAATTATTTGCACTATTTATAATCCAGTGCTGAACACTCTAATTTCTTACAAGTAATATTATCTGAATGTTCTGTGCAAGGAATACCATTAATTACTAAATTGGAGCACATTTATAGTGCATTTTTGACTTCTTCGCATGAATTTGCTTATTAACACTAATGTTGACTGTTTAAATAGCAATAATCATCTAATATTTAAGACTTTTAACATTCCCCTCTTGTACGTTCTGAGCAAAGTTTTTGTCTACAAATCCCTAAATTTTAGTTTTCAATTTATTAATTAACTTCATTGTTATTTGTTTTCTAATAATCATAAAAGCAATAATTAAATTTCTTACATTTTTGCGAGTTAACTATTTAATCACATAATGGGAAAACATTTTAAATGCTTAAGCATTCACAATTGTTTCTATTCCAAAAACACTAGTTTTATGATTTGACGCAACCTGATTAACTTAAACCTTCTCTTTTGCATATTTCATTGGATTAAGATGGGGTACAACCATAATTCAAAGGACTATATTTACATATATCATAAGCGTTTTTACAAATTTCTTAATGAGCGTTAGGATATTTAAGGCAATTATAAGTTTATTCTTTAAGAGTTTAGCATTTATGATTTTCATAATAACATCCTTTTACTTCAGAACATGCAATGTAATTTAAACCCTCAATATCACAATGATCCAAATTTTCTTTCGGAGATTCACAACTTTGAGTTTATTTATTATAATAGCAAGCATCAATTTAAACAGATGAACATACCATAGAGTTAACTTACAGATTAATGCTGTTGCAAGTGTCATATGGTTAATAGTCATCACAATGATAATTTTCATCCTCATCATTCTTAATCCAAGCACAAGGATAGTTCAAAATATTCAAACAAGCAAATTTGTTTAATCCTTAATGTTTGCAATTAACATTTAAATTTATTTTACCACATCCATTGCCAATAAAACCACAACTATCATTTATTTCAATTAATGTACATGCTTTTGAATTGAGGCCAGGCAAATCACAAGAAATTGTAAGATTTGTATTTTTTATAGTTACTTATTCACATGTTTTATCGATATGATTCCATTTACATAATTCAGATTATATTTTAAAACAAGATATTGAATTTAAACCATATTTTGATTATTTACAAGATAATTTGGTTGAATCTTTTACTTCAATACATGAAGCGAGTTCTTAAGAATATATAATTAATCTTTGATCTTAATATAATCCACAGACATTTGGATTAACCATTTAAGCTAATTCAGGTAGCTTATTCTTAGAAGTCAAATAATCAGATAAATAAAAATTTTGGCATTTATTATTTTTCCATCTGCAAAATTACCCTAACTTCTTAATTGATATACATGATTGATAACTTAACAGTAAATTACATTCTCTTTTATCAAAATCAGTAAATTATTAGCATTCTCCTATTTTTATAGTTTCCAATTTTGTAATATCCTTTCTTTTCTTTACTTTCACTTCTTTTATAACCCATTCACACTGACTAACATTTTATTATAAACAAGATTCTTTATTAATATTATTAATGCAGTTATTAATCCCTTCTTTTTAGATAAATGTCTGACATTAATTATTTTAAAATATACATTTTTAACCACTTCTTTCAATCATAGTACAAGCTTTCAGATTACCATTATTATCACTAATGTTATTGCACTAATCAAAAATATCTTTCTCTTTATAAGTGCAAGTTTCATTAAGTTCATCCCATAGACAAGGAAAGTCTATTATTGTATTGCATTGTTAGGAAGTTTATATTTCATCACAACTTTCAGGAGTAATTTACTTACAATTGAAATTCTCAGAGTCAAATATACAAAATGGGTCTTATATAGATGTGCAAACAGTTATTGAAGCATCTTTTATTGAGTTGCATTTATTTTAACTTATTTAATGATAGGCATAACATCCATCCTGCCATTAACATTTAAATCTTTTTTGAAATAAGCATGACTCTTTAGTTAATGCTTCACGACAGCAATCATAATAATTATTAGGATTGCATTCCAGTATTTTATCATTTGGTCCATAACAATAATTTAGATATTTACATTATTATTATTTATCAGTCAAATTATAACATGCCATTTTATTCAATCCACGAATACAATCATAATTATTTCCAGCTGCAATCTCACATTTATTCATCATTAAATTATATTTGCATGGTTAATCTGGAGCTTATTCACAAAATTTAAAAGAATTTATGTTGTTCAGCTCTAAACATTTTGATTTAAAATCAATATATAAATTTTAGAACTTGCATTTCTCTAAATATTAATCAAAATAACAAGTTTATCCTGGAGTTTAAATTTAAATACATCCTTTTATATTAACTGCTTCATTACACTGTATAGACCAATAATTGTTTGGTAATAATAATATGCACCTCTCTTTATTTACAGTACAACCTTAAGTAATAATTTATTTACAAAGTTAAATTTAACTAGATTCTACATCTTAACAAAATGCTATTGATTCTCCAATTTTGTTATAGCAAGTGCCATCATAAAATATGCAATTGTTATTCTTGTTGCATGCTAACTAATTGTACCCCTTAATTTAAGTTTGATTATTATCGCAATCCACTTCAGAGGCCTATGTAAGTTCTTAGCATCTTTTATTCTTTATATCATATTCACAAGGATTATCGGTAGCTATTTAACAGACAGCACTATTATTAATTTTTTGATAATAAGAACAATTTTTATTTAAGTTAGGAATATCAAGATTAATTGATTTGCAGATAAAATTTTCATATTAGCACAATTAAAATGGTGTTTGAATATTAATGCATCCGTTTTCATTTAGTTAATTACTACACTTCAAAATTCTCAGTTCAGCATCTTAGACTTCAAAACATTCTTCTTAATCATCTTAGATTTTCCAATATACCTTAAGAGCCCCTTAAGAATATCTTTAACACATTAATAAATTAAATGATATTTTGTTATTCCAGTTTAAGTTAAGAGACTGATATTATTCTTTATTATCGAAAAAAGGTGTGCATAAATTGTTATATTTATCGTAGAAGCATGGAATGTCTGTGCTTTTTGAGCAGGTAATAGGATTAGTTTTAAACGAATGAATACATTTAAGTAATTCTCCTTAAGTATTATCAATAGAATAGCAACCTTTTGTCGAGTTAAATGTGCAGTATTAGCCTTTAGTTTTGATTGAATAGCATTTATCTTCATTAATCATATCTTCACATTAAGCTTATCCAAAATCAAAAATACATTAATTATCTTAAAATCTACAAAGATAGCCTTTTGTTTAGAACAAACAAGTCCTTCTATTTAAACCTGGAGTAGAACATTAAAAATTATCTGTTTCTAATACAATTTCACAAGTATTTGAAGTAATATTTAATTTACAATTTCGATCATTTGTAGTTGCACAAACTGATGCTTTAACAATAAATTTTGATTTAGATAAAGATTCACAAGTATCAATATTTAAATCAATAGATTAACATTTTATTCCATTGAATTTACAATTAGAAGGTAAAGATATACAAGAAACCCAATTTAAATCTTTTTCAGGAAAACAATTATTTATTGTCTTTAAAGTTTATTAAGATGTTTGAATGCATCTATTTTCATTTTAATTATATTCACATGTTTGTAATGTCTTTTATAAACAAGCATACTTATTAGTTGTAAATTTATAACAATTATCAATAAAAGGTTATCTATTCGATACATTAATACATCTATTTTATATTTCGCTGTATATTAAACAATCTGTTATTTTTTAATCTAAAGAATAACAAACACTATTAGAATAAGCAAATTTTAAAGTAGAATTAATGATATCATTAATTGTATTTACTTAATGAAGAGAACAAATGTTATTATCAAATTTACATGTTTATTTTTAAGAAATGCAAGCCCATTTATTTAATGAATCAAGACATCCAACTTAATCATTTTTATTTTCTATACATTAAACTTGTTCATCTATAAATTAACATTACCCTATTGATCTATTAATACAACCAAATTTATTTAATCCTTAGGTATCACATTTAATTACATCAGTAATAATAGTTTCTCGACATTAATAATAATTATCTAAGAAACAACTTGATTAAATCTTTAATTAAGAACAAANTAAAAAGGTGTCTATATAGATATACATGCAATTTCATTTAATTTATCATTGCATTTCAATGTTATTACTTCAGAGTTCAATGTTTCTATACATTCACCTATCCATTTAGTTTGTAATTTGCCTGAACTAGGTATTTAATCTAATCGAGCCATATTATTTATAATGCATGCGAGAGAATTAAATGAGTTTAGGTTCTGCACAAAATAATCCTAATTAATGATTTCATTGTTATCTTTAGGATTTATAAACTTAATACAATGTTTTGTCTAAATATTATAAAAGCATGGTACATCTGTACTTTTTGAGCAGGTAATAGGATTAGTTTTAAATGAATGAGTACATTTAAGTAATTCTCCTTAAGTATTATCAATAGAATAGCAACCTTTTGTTGAGTTAAATGCACAGTATTAGCCTTTAGTTTTGATTGAATAACATTTATCTTCATTAATCATATCTTCACATTAAGCTTATCCAAAATCAAAAATACATTAATTATCTTAAAATCTACAAAGATAGCCTTTTGTTTAGAATAAACAAGTCCTTCTATTTAAACCTGGAGTTGAACATTAGAAATTATCTGTTTCTAATACAATTTCACAAGTATTTGAAGTAATATTTAATTTACAATTTCGATCATTTGTAGTTGCACAAACTGATGCTTTAACAATAAATTTTGATTTAGATAAAGATTCACAAGTATCAATATTTAAATCAATAGATTAACATTTTATTCCATTGAATTTACAATTAGAAGGTAAAGATATACAAGAAACCCAATTTAAATCTTTTTCAGGAAAACAATTATTTATTGTCTTTAAAGTTTATTAAGATGTTTGAATGCATCTATTTTCATTTTAATTATATTCACATGTTTGTAATGTCTTTTATAAACAAGCATACTTATTAGTTGTAAATTTATAACAATTATCAATAAAAGGTTATCTATTCGATACATTAATACATCTATTTTATATTTCGCTGTATATTAAACAATCTGTTATTTTTTAATCTAAAGAATAACAAACACTATTAGAATAAGCAAATTTTAAAGTAGAATTAATGATATCATTAATTGTATTTACTTAATGAAGAGAACAAATGTTATTATCAAATTTACATGTTTATTTTTAAGAAATGCAAGCCCATTTATTTAATGAATCAAGACATCCAACTTAATCATTTTTATTTTCTATACATTAAACTTGTTCATCTATAAATTAACATTACCCTATTGATCTATTAATACAACCAAATTTATTTAATCCTTAGGTATCACATTTAATTACATCAGTAATAATAGTTTCTCGACATTAATAATAATTATCTAAGAAACAACTTGATTAAATCTTTAATTAAGAACAAANGTACCACTTGTTTGAAGTTGAATTATCGCAATCTACTTCAAAGGGTTCTATAAGAACTTAACATCTTTTATTTCTCCAATCATATTCACAAGGATTATCAGTTGTTATTTAGCATAGAGCACCACTATTAATCTTTTAATAGTAAGTGCAATTTCTATTTAATTTAGGATTATCAATATTGATTGAATTGCAGATAAAGTTTTCGTATTAGCAATATTCATATGGTGTTTAAATGTTAATGCAGCCGTTTTCATTTAGTTAATTGCTACACTTTAAATTTTTCAGTTCAGCATCTTATACTTCAAAGCATTCCTCTTCATTAACTTAGGCTTTCCAAAATACTTTAATATTATCTTATGAATATCTTTAACACATTAATGAATTAAATGATATTTTGTTATTCCAGTTTAAGTTAAGAGACTGATATTATTCTTTATTATCAAGAAAAGGTGTGCATGAATTGTTTTATTTATCGTAGAAACATGGGATATCTGTACTTTTTGAGCAGGTAATAGGATTAGTTTTAAATGAATGAGTACATTTAAGTAATTCTCCTTAAGTATTATCAATAGAATAGCAACCTTTTGTTGAGTTAAATGCACAGTATTAGCCTTTAGTTTTGATTGAATAACATTTATCTTCATTAATCATATCTTCACATTAAGCTTATCCAAAATCAAAAATACATTAATTATCTTAAAATCTACAAAGATAGCCTTTTGTTTAGAATAAACAAGTCCTTCTATTTAAACCTGGAGTTGAACATTAGAAATTATCTGTTTCTAATACAATTTCACAAGTATTTGAAGTAATATTTAATTTACAATTTCGATCATTTGTAGTTGCACAAACTGATGCTTTAACAATAAATTTTGATTTAGATAAAGATTCACAAGTATCAATATTTAAATCAATAGATTAACATTTTATTCCATTGAATTTACAATTAGAAGGTAAAGATATACAAGAAACCCAATTTAAATCTTTTTCAGGAAAACAATTATTTATTGTCTTTAAAGTTTATTAAGATGTTTGAATGCATCTATTTTCATTTTAATTATATTCACATGTTTGTAATGTCTTTTATAAACAAGCATACTTATTAGTTGTAAATTTATAACAATTATCAATAAAAGGTTATCTATTCGATACATTAATACATCTATTTTATATTTCGCTGTATATTAAACAATCTGTTATTTTTTAATCTAAAGAATAACAAACACTATTAGAATAAGCAAATTTTAAAGTAGAATTAATGATATCATTAATTGTATTTACTTAATGAAGAGAACAAATGTTATTATCAAATTTACATGTTTATTTTTAAGAAATGCAAGCCCATTTATTTAATGAATCAAGACATCCAACTTAATCATTTTTATTTTCTACACATTAAACTTGTTCATCTATAAATTAACATTACCCTATTGATCTATTAATACAACCAAATTTATTTAATCCTTAGGTATCGCATTTAATTAAATCAGTAATAATAGTTTCTCGACATTAATAATAATTATCTAAGAAACAATTTGATTAAATCTTTAATTAAGAACAAATCTTTTAACTAAAATGAGTAATATATGATTATTAAATATTTGATATTGCTTAATTACATGATATTACTTTATCATTTAATATAGCCTATTAACATTCATAAAGATCTGACCATACACATGAGATAATTGATTAATTTAAACATCCAAATTTATTTAGATCTGAACATTAAGTTATTTCTTTATCATTTTTAATACATTTTTAATTAATTGAATCCCATAAACAAGATTCCTTTAATGAAAATAAACAAAGATCTTCATTCAATAATAAATTACAATAACCTTAAGTGGGATCAAATTATGTACAATATCCAATATTCAAATCAAACCAACAATCTTACTAAAATTGTATACATGCATCTTAATTATATATTGAACAATCTCTACTATCAGATCCTGTTATTCTATCTATTTATTTACATTCCTAATCTTCCCATTTACACTTTATCTCTTTTGTCATTTATAAACATGCCTGCTTGTTTAATAGATTGCATGATTTTATCTTATCTTCCAAAATTTTACAAAATAATTTTTGCTCATCATAATAAACACTCAAAGAATTACACCTGATACAAGCTCTTTTAGATACAACCAAATTTAGAAGATAATCACAACTATAATGAGTTGCATCTTCGCATGTAAAAGTATATCGACAAGCTTATTCGACCATTCCACAAACTTTTTTTTTACTCTCAGTTTCAATTGGTAACAAATTCACCTCATAACATAAATAATATTGATTAGAATTATCAGGTAATTTTTGAATAGGTTTTCTCTCTGGTTAACAGTACCCAAGTAAATCAAAGTCGCATTTGCAATATTCACACCAAGATTTACTATAGCTTCTATCGCATAAACATGGATAGATATTCTAATCAGAAACACAAACCCCATTTGAATATCGACAATAATCAGCTACTGCAGCGCAATTAAATATTGATGGATTTAAAACCCTTATACAAGATACCGAGCTTTGAAAATTTAAATCTTTAACACAACTTTTATAACGATGTGTATTAGCAGGACATAAATTATCTGCAACATTTTATTCGCTACTATCTTTACAATACACTAATTATGAAGATACTGCTTGACATGTATTTTAATATTCATTTTATTATTACCCACTAAATCTACAAATATTATTGAAGTTATCGCACTAATTAGTTGGTTTGCGAGTATTTTTTACGCTATCACAATTTGGAACTTTATGTTCATTCCCTTCAAGCTAAATACAACCACCTTAATTTATATCAAAGTAACAGTTTTAATTTGTCATTTCAAGACAAAGAGCTTTAGAAAAAATATTTCGGCATTTTAACTATAGATAATAAAACCCTTTACAAATTTCAGATTTAGTATATATATTGTATTTTTTACATATTGCATCCTAGAGTTCCCAAGATTAGGCGACAAAAGGAAAACAATCAGCTGTCTTATTACATGCTTTATGGCTATCTGAACATTTATATGAAGCACAAAGTTAAGTTATTTCTATAGTAGTGGTTATATTGATAAAAGTGTTCTCAATTAATACTTTATTTACTTAGGTTTATTAAGCTTTTGGACAATCGCTAAACATTTAGCAAGCTTCTTTTGTCTAATTACAATTTCCAAAGCATTTTTATTTTTATAATATTTCTGGGTTTAAAACTTCTTGAGGTGGGGGGTCTGTATCCTTACAAGGCTAAATTTCTAATTATTACTAACAATATTATTAACAAGTTTAGTCCTATATGATAGGTGGTTATGTAGTGCCATCATCATTAATCTTAAGATTTTCAATAAAAATCTATCCACAATTGTCACTTATAGAACACGGTTCATTTGTATAATCACATCTTCCTAATCCACATTTTAATTAATCACTTTTGCCTGGATAAGTTAAGCCATCACTTTAAAATTCTGAATTTGTTACATATTAGTTACATTCAGCAGCATCGGTGCAATTATTATGTTGATATACCCAATATGACTATTAACTGATGATGTAATGTTTAGTATCAAATAAATGAATTTATTATTTACTCACTTTACAGGTATAATTATTCCAAATACAAAATCTCTAATAATTGCATTATTGCACAAATTCTTTATTTTAATAGCATTAATATTCTCCATCATTCCCTTCTAAAGATTCTGATATAGAGGAGCATCCTAGTTTATTAACATATTCTCCTCTGTTTTATAAATCCTAAAGATCTAAACAACTTGTATCTATTTTAACTTACAATGTTGTGCAAGATAAATTCTGAAGAGAGAATTTACATGACTTTGGTATATTCATACAGACTTCAATATTTATAGCATATTTAGATGAGCAAATTGTTTGATCCATATTGAAAATTTTACATTTTGGAGGTTTTTCATTTTAATCGAAATAACAATTTGAACCTTTTGTTAAAAATTAACATGCATAGTTATTCATAGAAATATCAGAACATCCAAATTTTTAAGTATCGTCTAGGATTTTGCATTTATGATTATCTGCATCAAATGTGTACCCAGCACCAACTATTAGGGCACAAGCCCATTGATTATATTAGTTCTTAGGATTCTATCCTACGTATTGATCTTTAGTCATCATATTAAAATAAACACATTAATATTGATCTTCATTCCACATGCAAGGTTGCTTCGTAACTTTCATACATAAGATTTAATTTAGATTATTATTACATTCCAATTCTTATAGAGCTGTTTTATTTTCATAGCATTAACCTGAGATATCATCCCATCTGCAATTTCCTTGAGTATTCTTAAAACAACCTCTTTTATTAATTCCATCTAAATTACATCCTTCAATTGATTTGGTAGATACAACACAATAATTATTTTAGAATTCACAAATTTAACCATTTTTTGATATTAATGAGCAAGTTTTTCTACTCACTTTACCTGTAGTATTGAAATATGAGCAATCTTGATCTAAAGGTGCGTTAATACATTTATCTTAGGCAAGAGAGAATTGGCAAGCTGAATATTAATTTTCTATGCATGATTTGATATTTTGATATTCATTACAAGTGAGGATTTCTTATTATTAATCCACTGTTATTGTAATACAAGTTAGCGTTTCTTTGTTCCATTTACAATAAAGATTACTAGTAAGTCCTAAGCAAATGTTAGAATTTCCAGTTACACTTTCACAAGTTTAATATTATGGATATGGTTATAAAAGTAGCTTACAGTTTTTACCTTCTTAATTATACTCAAAGTATTTTTAACTTAAGTTGATGCTATTCACTGCCTCAATTGCTAGACAGGCATAGATATTAAGAATTGAAGAAGGTTTTGTAAATTCTATCAAGTCTAAATTCTTTTTTAAATTTAAATTTACACAAGCAAATCCATTATAATAGCATGTTTAAGAAGTTGACCAATCTATCATATGACAAGAATTCTTATTCATTTAAGCACAAGTAAATTTTTTTTCATTATAATAGCTCTTTACATTATTAGAATTTGAGATATCCACAATTTAGTTTGTGAGTTACTTACATCTGAAGTCTTGAAAATAACAGTAAACTCCTGGATTTTTACTTGAGAATCTACTGCATGAATGTACATTTATTCCTATTAATTCATTTTCTGTGCAACATTCAGAAGTACAATCTTTGGTTTTTACCTTACAAATTTTTTCTGTTATATCATATTCACAATAACCAGGATTCTATTCCTCAAATGATTACTCCATACCAAAAATGATATTATTTGGATTTTCCATTGTAATAGATGCACAAACATTAACATTAACTTGAAAAGATGAGAAGTCTGCACATTTCTTATTTGGAAGTACTTAAATTTCTCTACACTACTAATACATAATAGACCATTAACATAATTAACCTGGTGTTTATATTGCTAAGCAAATTCTTTCTGTTGGAAAATTTGAAAGGCACTGTAGTTTTTCTAAAATTATTTAAACTTCTGGAGTAATTGAAGTTGAAATTTCTCCAATACTCTAGCATCTATCCTTCTCAAAGTAACAATTCTCTTTAGCCTTCTTACAACTAATCGTATTAAGTCCTAGATCATTGCAATTCATTTCACCTATTAGTTGATTTGTACATCCTATTTCTTCTTTAAAATATCTGCAAAATTCATTGTTGTATTTTACTTGAGCACATGTTTATGGATTAGCATACTTAAGATCTGTACAAGGAATATTAGTAATGGCATTTTTTTTCAAAAATTTACAGCTATTTTATTGCCATCTGCAAAATACATTTTCTGTCATTATAGACCCACATATTATTCTATTCAATCCTAAAGTTTTATCAAAACATGACACTGTTGCTAAAAATTAATTAGCCTTTTGTATCTCCTGCAGATTTATATTATTTTCATTATCAGTGCTTATTAATAAAGATACACATTAGGATTTGTTTTTATCAAAATAACAACCAATTTAATTATTTTCAAAAACTTATTGACACGATAGATAATTTGCATATTCCAAACTACTACAAACAGTTTCAAATGGTATTATTAAAATATCTTAACAACTTGAATCTATCCACTTACAAAACTAATTCTCTCTTGAAATACTAACACATCCATATAAATTTAGATATGGAGTAGAACAATAATCATTTGTTGAACTTTCAACACAAATTTTAGTTATTTCATTATATTTACACATTGCATGTGGCTTAGTGATAGCTTAACAAACATTCCCATTAACTAAAAATTGGTCAAAACTATCGCAATCTTAATCTTGAGTAATTTATACATTTTAACAACCTTATCCATTCCATAAACATAATTAATCTTTTGTCTTAATATTAATACAAGCTGCTTAATTTAATTACATTTAACATTAATAATTACTTAAATCATTTTCAGATAATGTTTAACAAAATCCTTAATAAAAAGTACACTATTAATTTTAGATGGATAAACATGCAAATTTTGTTATTCCAGGAGTATCGCAATTTAAATCTTCCAATTAGTTTTAATTTAATTCCGTACATTTGTAATTTAATTGGTCAAACATACAAAAACCTTGTTAATTAGCACATACATTTATGTTAACATCAACAATGTTGAGACATGAAACTTGTTGATCAAATTTATAAACACGGCATTCATTTTGTTACCATTAACATAACAAATGAGGTTTTGTAATAGATAAACAAGCTAATTTGTTTAATTTTTAAGAGCATTCTAATATCTCAGAAGGTTTTATGGTTTTACATTTATCATTTTCAAAGAGACCTTAAATGATATATTAAATTACACATTTCATTATTTGTCAAAATTGAAACACATCCTATTTCATTTAAACCCAAAGTTGAACATTTTATTTCTTTAAATTATATCTAATTAAGTGTAACACATTTATAATCTCCTTGTGGTCCTGTGTTCATACCTTTATTATTTATGCTATTTACAAGGAGATTTATGATATTTAGCACATAGTTATGGAGTAACAGAGTATGGAGACAACTATTCTTTAGAGTAATCTGAAAATATAATCTTTTAAGAATCTTCACATTAATAACCATTCCAAAAGCAATCTTTATTAATTACATTAACGCAAGCATATTTTGAATATGAATTACTGCAACCAAGGTTTTTCAGATGGAATATATTAACTTCTCTGCATCTATTCTAAAATATACCTAAATATAAATTAATATTTACATCTGCTCTCAATATGTCCACTAATAGTTAATTAGTTTATACAAGCATTACGATTGAGATTATAAGAGCATCCTAAATTTTAATTACTTGTTTCTATGCACTGATTCAGAAATTCAACATACAAGCCTATCAATAAAATTTATCAAATACAATTAGAATCAGTTAATTATAAAACACAGGTAACGGGATCGTATTCATTTAAATTACATATGCAGTTACACCCAGCTAATGCAAAAACAAATATGCAAATGAGTTTGAACATTTTTAAAATACTAATTATTATTTTATGTATCCAAATTTTAGGTTATATTATCGATTTTCTAAATCTAATAATTTTATTCTCCTCTAAGCAAATCAGTTTTTCTTCTGATTTTTAAGATTATGGAGACAATAAATGGAATTTTAACAGTTACTATATAAAATTATAGTCTCTATTCCTATCCTTTTTTGTTAATTTCACCCATAACATTATATTAGTTATTTCCCCAATTATATTTAACAAGTAGTTAATTTTTGATAAAGTTAATCTCATATACACTATGATTTAATTAATAATACAAATTATAATAATCATTTTAGCCATTGATTAATCTAATCATTTTTTCCAGCACTTTCATTAAAATATTCTTCGAGTTTTTATATTTCTATTTTTATTTGTTGATATTAATCTTTTAATTGATATTAGGATTTTAATTTTGGACGTCCATCAATCAACAATAGCAAATTAGATTAAGATCTAATTTCTTAGATAATATAGCAAAAAGTGATACCACTGTTTTACATTTATCAAATTCTATTTATGCCTAGTCTTTGAATCATTTTTATTATTATTATACTCTATACACACAATCAAACTAATTTATAATCAAAAAATGGATAAGATGGTTAGATGCACTTTGCGACATTTAAAGACAAGAAACTTATCTATTAATTAAGTACAAAAATAAAAATCCTATTTGATAAATTAATTACCTTAGACATCCGACGATTATATAATACAATTTGATTAGTTGAATGAAGATATTTATATTTAAAATATGAATATATATAATATATATAATAAATTTCAAATATTTCTCAATCATCACTCATCAATAGACAAGTACCACTGAGAATCCATTTGGAGGCGTCTGAATCCTCATTTTCCATATTAAGATTTGCTGTAAATACAAATGTAGGTCCTCTCATTGATGTTACGTAGACTGGACATTAATATTATCCAATCTTCTTCTTTTTCTCTGCTGTCACAGCAATCACATTAACAACTGGTAATTTTGGATGTAATTCCTTCTATTTCTATTCAATTAAATATCCTTCTTATCCTTAACCACCTAATTCCCATGCAGCTCCTTCCAAATACAAACCATGAATATAAGCACCAGTCTCAGCTGAAACAGTAACTTCTTCATGTCCTTTGATAGCTGTCACATTTGTTTACAAGACCATCTAAATAATATAAATAATAATATCTTACATCATCTAAAGGTAATCCTTGTTCTCTGGCAGTCTTCTACATAATTGCAGTCAAAAATGACATGGGATTGAACAAATAACTAATACACAATGAAACTGGTGTGACCATTTCTTATGTCCATACTGCTAATTAGTTGGTTCTTTCAATTAAATCATTGAACCAGGCAGCCAAACCCTTTCTTGAGAAATAGGCAAACTTCTCCCAACTGGCAGGGACTTTATTGAATTGTAATGATAGAGATAAGGCTTCCATTTGATCTGTGATATTCAAAGCACCTGTTAAACCAAGTCTAAGATCTTCAAGTGATCTTCTGATTTCACCTAATAAAATGTTCATTCTTTCACATTCTTATAGACACACAATTTGATCAGGTGTCTTTTCTGATGCCTTAGCTGTGACATCCATTAAATTAGTATCAGCAGGAGTTGTGGATTTTAATAATGTCAATTAAGTCATAACTCCATCATCTTTTTTACCTCCACCACCACTGCTTGATCCTCCTTGAACATCCAAGATGGTACTGAATAAGGTTTCACATTATTATGTCAAATAACCAATTTCTGCATTTGGATGCATACCAAACATTTATGGAGATTCAATTGGTAATTTCTTTTCAATGTATTCCTTATATTATTCATATTCAAATTTTGAAGGATCTGGTGATTTAAATCCTGGACCCAAATTGAAATTTGGTTATAATAATTCTGGTTTAATTAAGACTTTCAAATAAGTAGCATTGGTTCTTCTATCCCAATCGTCTGTAATGTGCCCGCCATACATAATTTCACCAAAAATATATTTCAAATCATCCCAAGGCACAACATCATATTTGGACAAATAATTATACAAGACATTAGCACATATTGTTAGATCACCATCATTAAAGTTGTAAATTCTAGACCATCCTTAAGCACCAAACTTCTTTCTACCCAAGACTAAGGAATGGAAATGGCACAAAGCAAACAAACATGCCTTGAATTCTGATGGTTTCTTTTAACATTTATTCAAGAACTCTTAATCAAAGTGAGCATAGGCTCTTCTGAGATTAGCCTTTAAATCTTATGGTGCTTCATTGGCAACCTTAACAGATGCTTATAGAATAGATTCTGGAATAATCTTCATTTCAGGGAGAGGAGGAGGTTCTGATGAAATGAATACTCTAAAGTTTGGATGATGTTTAGCATAAACAGTTTCAAGATATCCTTCCAAACCATTAAGACCTGTCAACCAATTTTACATTAAATGTACATTTTGTAACATAATCCAATGTCCTTAAACAGCACAATCTAATAATGCTTTTCTAGCAATTTCTTCTTGACCTTGACCCATTGAGATGTTGATGAATTTGCCATTAAATGATGTAATATCATATTAAGCAGCCACTCTTTCCACTTCTGGTGTAGGATCAACTCCTGGGAACAAGACGAAGAAAATAGGTGTGGTCGGAGCCATTTCACTAAAGGTTTCAAAAATTGAGAATGGAGGTTATTCAACATACTTATCTCCCATTTCTTCAGCAACATAATTAGCCATAGCTGATGTCAGTCTATCAGGTCTCATTGTTCTTAATAACAGTAATCTATGGAATTTCTTAAGATGACTGAATGCCTTAGGTAGATCACTGATTTCAGCCTTTTCTTCATTATACCATTTCTTCCATTAGAGATTGTCAACTTCTAAACTTTATCCAAGACCATTAAATTCAGGGATTGATTCCAAGGCTTTGCAGCATGCCCAAATTGTATCATTCAAGAATGATTTCAATGATTCAGGCATAGGAGGAGGATTTAATTCGATTTTACCAATAATCAAATGGTCAACCTATTCCTTTGGTAATTTTCCAGCTTTCAAATTGATTCTCAATGTAAGCATTGTTGATACAATCAACTTGTGTCTTTCGAACAATCCTCTTCTGGCATATTAGAAAGAGGTATAAGTAATACTTTCAATCAATTAATTGACTCTCTTTCTCAAAGATTATGGTGTGAGTTGATCATCATCAGCAGATCTCTTTTATTCTTCAGCTTATTCTTCTTTCTTTTGCTCTCCTTCTTCACCTTCCTTGGCTTCTCCTCCTTCTTCTCCTTCTCCTTATTCTCCCTCTTATTATTCACCTTATTATTGTTCACCTTATTATTATTCTTCTTATTATTATTCTTCTTGTTATTCCTCTTGTTATTATTCTCCTTCTTCTCCTTCAGCTGCTTCTTCCTCTTCTCCTTCCTTCTTCTTTCCGAGATCAATTTAAGCTGCTGCTTTCTCATCTAACATGACACCTGTTTGTACATATTTATGTTCAGAAATTAAATCAATAGCTCTATGAACAACAACCAAATAGGATTCCAATGAATACTTATAGAAAGAGTGGATCTTAGATAGATCTGTCAATAAGAAATAAATTAAGGCACCTCTAGCAGCTGCATTTCTGTATTATTCTGAAGTTTCATTGATTTTAGCTTCGGTGGCCTTAGCAATTTCTACTTTTTCAGCAATTTCTGTTGAGATCTTCTTAGAGTACTCTAGATTTTCAATCAAAGCAATATCTTCCAAAATATCACCTTCAGCATTAGCTAATTTGTATAATAATTCATCTTCCAATTCTTTTAATTTAATTTTGAATGAGTTTTATTGTTAGATCAATTCTACTTTCTTCTAAGCCAAATCTGGTCTTTCTCTACCAACAACCAAGGCTAATAATTAATCACTTAAACCATCTTCAGTAACAGTGAAATTGATAAGGGTAGCTTCTGCTTAGATTTCAGGAGGATAGTGTGGATTACTCAATTATGTGTGTAAAAACAATTAGAATTTGGGATGGACATCCAATTCTTAACCAGCGAATTTAATCTTCTTTTATCCTGAACTCTTGATGATAAATTGTCTTGCAATAACTGGCATCAACACAGCATCGATTCTTTCATCCATATTTTCAATTAAACATGGATTACCAGCTTAGATAGAGAATTCAATTTATCTATTTGTGTTTTTTTATCCAATACGTAAGATCTTCATGTTATTTGAAGATTCCTTCTCTTTAATCCATTTGATTCCTTATAATTAAGGATCTATGATCAATGGATATCTTTCAGAATTAGTTAAAATGGTACCATTTTCAGTACTGACAGCATCACTTGGCAATAATTATTGATTCCATTTTGCAATAGTACTTTCATCTGTTAATAATTTCACTGGATCAGCATTATTACTAAGTGGCACCTTGTTATCAATGATGAATTTCAGGAAATAGTCCTTAATCATAACATCTCTGAATCTCTTGTTGAATGGACCAGCATAAGAGACAAAGGCAGCTGAAACTAAGACATCTCCACTTAATAATTAAATTTAGCCTTCTAACATTTTAATTGCTTAATCCCAACGTTCATTTTCACTTCCCAAAGCTTTAACTAAACGATTCGCAGAATTAAGTCTCTTTTCACATTTGGCAGCTTAATCTAAGGCAGCCTATAATTGTGCCATAGCTTTATTATAATCAGCAGTCAAAACAGCTAATCTATCATTTAATTCTTTCACTTGTTCTTAGACTTTAGCCAATTTTGCATTAGCATCATCTAATTATTGAATAGCTTCTTTTAGTGCTTGTCTCTTAGGTTCTACAATTTGAATGACATCATAATATTTGACAATGTTAATAACCCAATCGCATAGACCTCTAGCAGCTGATGATTTATTAGCCATAGTTTATGCATTGAAATGTTCTAAATTCAAATAGTTTTTCTTAACAAAATCTACATTTGTAGGTGGTACTTGATTGGCATCTACAATATCTT